AAGAGTTTGATACTCTGGTGGAGGAGGGCACTGCGATGGCCAGTTGCTCCTTCCAAATGGCATAGGATTCGGCGGTCTCAGCAGTCAGGGTGGTAGCATCCGTGGTGGTAATGAGGTGCAACTCCTGGCTTCAGACCACCGGACTCTCCCAGGAGATGTAGACTTCCATGCAAGACCTCCCGTTTGATGGGAACATTCTCTTTTCTGACCAGACGGATGTGAGACTCCATGGGCTGAAAGACACCAGGTCCACCTTTTGCTCACTGGGCATGCAATCGCCACAGTCATTGCGCAAGAGGTTCCAGCCACCTCCACCACCAAGGTCAGCCTTGCCTGGGGTCTGTGAGAAGGAGGGAGAGAGACACTGGGTTTGGTCGTCACTGCCTTTCCACCTCCCGCTCCCCTGAGCATCCTGGCCCGGCAAAGCATTCCGGAAGCCAGAAGTGAGCGCGCAAGGCCCCAGTCAATCCCCTCGGCTCCACCGTTTTCTTTCCTCAACTACCTTCATCCCTACCATTCGTCCTGGTTGCGGGTCACCTTGGACTGCTGGGTACTGGACATAGTATCTCAGGGCTGTACCCTGCTGATGTATGCCTTCCCCCCAGTGCCATTGGTTCACAGGGTCCTTGTGAAAGTCAAGCAAGACAGAGCAAAGACTATCCTAGAGGCCCCCGCATGGCCTTGCCAGCACTGGTTCGGCATGTTGCTGAGCCTTTCGGCAGCTGCCCTGCTACACCTGCCACTTCGGCCAGATCTGCTGTCCCAGAACCGCGGCAGTCTGTTGCACCCGAACCTGGCAATGCTGCACTTGATGGCTTGGCTACTGTGTGGCTAAGCACAGACGAACGGGTATGCTCGACCCATGTTCAGCAGGTCTTGCTAGGCAGCAGGAAACCCTCCAGCAGGGCGACCTATCTGGCAAAGTGGAAAAGGTTCACATGTTGGACCTTGGGGTGTCATATTCGGGCCTCGGAGGCCCAGTTGCAGGATATCCTGGATTATTTGCTGCACCTCAAGCTCTAATGCTTGTCCATCTCTTGGATCAAGGTCCACCTGGCTGCCATTTCAGCGTTCCATCCTCCATTCTAAGGCAGGTCTATCTTCGCTCACCGTATGACGGCGTGGTTTTTGAAGGGTCTGAAGCGGCTCTATCCACACATCTCGGGGCCTGAATCTTGTGCTGTCAAGGCTCATGGGATCTCCCTTTGAGCCTTTGGCTTCCTGCTCTCTCCTGGAAGGTTTCATTCTTGGTCGCGATAACGTCAGCCCATAGGGTGTCTGAGATCAGGCCTTGGAGCCACCGTGTACGATTATCTATAAGGGCAAGGTTCAGCTGTGCCCACACCTGGCATTTCTGCCCAAGGTTATTTCCCAATTTCATACTGGCCAGGACATATACTTACCAGTCTTCATTCCAAAGCCTCATGCGTTAGATGAGGAACGCAGGCTACACACCCTGGACACCTGGAGGGCACAGGCTTTCTACATAGATAGAACGAAGCCACTTCATAAGTGAATGCAGTTGTTCGTTGCAGTGGCAGACAGGATGAAGGGTTGCCCAATGCCTGCTCAGAGGATCTCGTCCTGGATCACGGGTTCCAGCCTGTATCCGCCAGTGATCATGATGGCACGCTCAACTAGGGCACAGGCATCATTGGCAGCCTTCCTGGCACAGGTACCGAGCCAAGAGATCTGTCGAGATGCTACCTGGTCGTCCGTTCACACGTTCGCGTCTCATTATGCTCTGACCCAGCAAGCTTGAGACGATGCTAGCTTTGGCAGAGCAGTGCTGCAAGACTGTGAACTCTGAGCCCACCTCCATTGATGCTGCTTGTGCGTCGCCTAGAATGGAATCAGCATAAGCAAGCACTCAAAGAAGAAAAAACGGTTACCTACCTTTTATAACTGTTGTTCTTCGAGATGTGTTGCTAATGTCCATTCCATTATCTGCCCTCTTGCCCCTCTGTCGGGGTTGTCAGGAAGAAGGAACCGAGATGCTGTAGGGCTGGTGGCACCTGATATACCAGTGGCTGAGAGCACACTCATGGGGGCGCCATGGCCAACCCTATGGATATCGCTAAGGCAAAAATCTCCGATGACCACACACGTGGGCGCGCGCACACGTACAATGGAATGGACATGAGCAACACATCTCAAAGAACAACAGTTACGAAAAGGTGGGTAACCGTTTTTTCTGCCTTTTAGGTGAAAGACGCTGTAACGAAGCGGCCTTTGGCAGGAAACTACTGAGAGTATCCATTCAGGACAAATTGCTTAGAGCAGGGCAGTTACAGCCCAAGCCTGGGGTTCCTTTACTAGCTGAGGCACACAAACCAGCCAAACAGAGAGGACTTTGGTTTTGCCCCACTGGCTAACCAGAAGTCATACATGCAATTCCCGTAGACACTCCAGTTTCTCGGTATCACCACCAGCACTGTTCCTTATGGGGATGAATGGTTATGAAAACCAATACCCCAGTAAAAGAAAAAAGGTTCTCCTGATCCCAAAGGACCGAGCCCCAAACCCCGGTCAATATACCAGTCAGATTTTACCCACAAATCAAGCTGTTTCCCATCCTTTAGAATCTAAAATCTAAAGGTTTATTTATAAAAAGAAAGAAATATAAATGAGACTTAAAACTGGTTAAATGGAATCAAATAGATACAACAACTGCAAAGTTCTTCGTTCAGGCTTGAAGGAACACTGTGTAAAATCAAGCACATGGGTTTATTACGTACAGTGCTGACGGAGTGTCACCTCGCTTATTAGGCTCAGAGACACGGCCAAACAATTGATTACAATGGATTATATGGATTTTCCATGGGTGGAGGGAGATGATGGGGTAGGCAGTCCCAAACCCCTGGATAGGTCTAGCAGCAAGACCAGATAAGCACAGTAGCCAATGGTCAAAAGGTTACATAATGTCTCCGGCCATGGTTTCAGGTTAACACATGACACTTAATTAGTACACAGGTGTTTTCCATTAAACAATATATAAAGTGTGTTAGTATAAAATATATATGTTAAATTCTGATTTGGGATCCATAGATAATGAAGTAGCTCCCTTGATTGTCCAACACGTACACATCTAGGAGTTAAAGCAAAAGGACAAACAAAAAGTATATAGCAATAAAGGTTGTCTTTTAATTATTCATTTGTGTTTCTAAGGCAGGTACTGGCAATGGCTTGGAGGAGAGGTGCACATCTGTGAGCGGGAGGATATCATATCTCATACTGATATGTTTGAACCTCTTCCATAAACTTAAGGCTGGTGTGTAAGAAGGCACCTCTTCTACAGAAGAAACAGGGCCCCTTTCATTCCCATGGTCTGTTCTCAACTTTGAGATAAAGCCCGCAATTATAATTTCCACCTGGCTTCTTGCTGACCAAGCTTATCTTAGCAAAAAGCAAGGTTGTCCTTTGTTTGTTCTGCTTCTCAGCTAATATTGTTCACTATTTGCTAGGCCTCTGTCTTCTTGACCAAACTCTGGATTTTGGGCCTGTAAGAAGAGTTGACACAGTCTATATATCAGGTTGTAACATAAACAACATAGGGATTTTAGCCGTTCAAGGCTTGTTTCAGGCTTGATGGGATTACTGCTGATTTAAACCAGTTAAGTGTCTGTAGTACAAACATCCCAGCTTGGCTTGGTCGCTCAGTCCTTTGTTCAGAGCTTCAGTGTCAAGTATCGTCCCTCCAGAGGTCAGAAGGAGGGTTGAAGACAAAATGGAGAAGATGCAGCTGCCTTTTATAGTCTCTTGCCATGCGGCCTGTGCGCCTTTGTTCCAAACACAAGCTGCCCAGCACATGGCTTGCAAGCCTTAGAGTGCTGTCCATAGGCGTGTCTCTGCATGCCTCGCTGAGTCAGAAGGTGTGTCTGCCTTCTCTCAATGGGTCAGTTATATAACTGATGGTTCTCAATGGGCCAGCAAGCAGACTAGGCAGTACTGATGCCAAACTGTCTGGGGTGTCACCCAGAAGCATAGCACAAGTTTGAAATACAGACAGTATAGAGCCAATACTTATCACTTTAAATACAAAATGATACATGCATCCAGATCGCATAATCATAACCAGCAAATCATAACCTTTTCATAGACACCTTACTTGATCTCCTTTGTACAAAATTTGGTGCCACTATAGGACCTTGGTTGCAACAATGATCTGTACGGTCACAGTTCATGTCAATAACGTCACCGATGCGTATAGTTGTTCACATAGTTATTGAAGCTCACAAATAACAGGGAGACAATAGATTGTCGGTTGAGGTTGCCTTTCTATGTGTAGCATGGGACTTTTTTCTGTCTTCTCCATTAATTGCTATTTGTAATTATTGGTTTACAGCAGCTAGTGGAGAATCCAGTCCCAGGGTTTAGTCCCTAATCTTGATCTGAGTACACTTGGGGCCCATAGTTTCTGTGGGCCTTTCTTTGTATTAAAGATAAAGGTAGCTGCAGGCTACATTGTAGCATTCTGTGTGTGGCTGTGCTTTTGTTACCTGGTATACATTCTTTGGGGATATGCTCACTGTCACAAGTGATAGTTGCTCTGGTAATGGGACTAGAGCCTTCAGGTTTAAAGTTTAGTTAATGATTAAAATAGCTGCTTTTGAGGCTTTTTCCCTTTCTCTGAGATTTCTACCCTGAGGCATTTAGTGATCTGAAATCTTCCTGGCAAGGTTTATTAGACAGAGTTGTGAGACACTTGTACAGTTTTGTGCATCTTGTCTTGGCTACAGTTGTTAATTATAATGTTAACAAACAAAACCAAGAAGAGCTGTTGTCCCAGCTTGGCTGAAGCTGCGCGCGGTGTGGATTAATAGCAGGCGTTGGACAGGCGGTGGTTTTGAAGAACACACTGGCAGCTCCAGTGCGAGTAGGTGTCTTTTCCAGAGTGAGGTCGCTCAGGAGGCCTGTGATCTGGGATTTGGGGGGACACTGGCTGTACGAGAGAATTCTGGAGGAAATGTTTTACAACCTGTCTTCTTTTTCTTTCCCAGTGATGCCATCTGCAGGTTTGTCATCTGCAATGACTCCTCCCTCCATGGGCAAACAGTCATCTTCAACCCTGACTTCTTTGTGGAGAAGTTGCGGCATGAGAAGCCTGAAGTCTTCACAGAGCTAGTGGTCAGCAACATCACCAGGCTCATCGACCTGCCGGGAGCAGAGCTGGCCCAGCTGATGGGGGAGGAGGACCCCAAGCTGCCTGGTGGCATTGGCACAACCTCTGGATTCTTTCGGTCCCTAATGTCTCTGAAGCGTAAAGGTAGGCACTATGCTCTGCCTGGCAGCTGTCTCCATGGTTTGATGTGGACCACTGTGGTCCTGAATCAGATTCCATTAGCTATACCACATACCATACTCTCTCTCTAAGCACTCTTGGGAGCCAGGCGTGTTGCATATGTTCCTTGTTGCATCCACCTGTTGTGTCACCTCTTCTATTTAGATTGTAAGCTCTTCAGGACAGTGCTTGTCTCTCTGTGTTTATTCATTGCCTGGTACCCTGGGGCTGTAATCCCAGACTAGGGCCCCCAGCATGAAGGAAGGAGCCAAACCAAGAGTGAATCTAATTAGCAGTGAATCCAAGGTAGCCCCCTCTTTTGTTTCTGCTTGATTTGTGGTGTCTGACCCCAGGGGTAGCTGCAGGGAGATCTCTGCACCCGTTCTCGTCATTCCCAAAGGATCAGCCTTTCTCAGGGAAGTCTTATTGAGTATTCAGATTCCTGTCGCTCCCCCAAAGCCCTGTGAGAAGGCAGCCCCATTGTGCCAGAGTCAGAACAAACATGTGTGAAGAAATGCTCCCTGCCCTGAAGAGCGGACAGTTGGAGAATGAATGAGGTCAGTCTATAACCAGATGGGTTATATCAAACTTGGACAGGTCTATGCAATCAGTCAAATTGAAGATAACTGGCTCTGTGGATGAGGGGAAAGCAGTGGACGTGGTGTCTCCCACAGCAGACACGGTCTCCCACAGTATTCTTGCCAGCAAGTTAAAGAAGTATGGGCTGGATGAATGGACTATAAGGTGGATAGAAAGCTGGCTAGATTGTCGGGCTCAACGGGTAGTGATCAATGGCTCCATGTCTAGTTGGCAGCCGGTATCAAGTGGAGTGCCCCAAGGGTCGGTTCTGGGGCCGGTTTTGTTCAACAACTTCATTAATGATCTAGATGATAGGATGGATTGCACCCTCAGCAAGTTTGCGGATGACACTAAGCTGAGGGGAGAGGTAGATACGCTGGAGGGTAGGGATAGGATACAGAGGGACCTAGACAAATTGGAGGATTGGGCCAAAAGAAATCTGATGAGGTTCAACAAGGACAAGTGCAGAGTCCTGCACTTAGGACAGAAGAATCCCATGCACTTCTACAGACTAGGGACCGAGTGGCTAGGCAGCAGTTCTGCAGGGTAAGGCTGGCTCCCGGAGTCAAGGTTTGGAGTGACCTAGCAGATCACTGGTCTGGATAACACCAGGAGAACGTCACAATGGCAGTCTGAGAACAAGGTCATTGCCTGCACCTTGCTCCAAGAAGCCCTTGATGTGGCTGATTCGGCCACCCACACCATGGCCTCTGGGGTAGCCATGAGGAGGAGCTCCTGGCTGCAAGTCTCAGGGCTCCCATATGACATCCAGCAGACTATACAGGACCTCCCTTTTGAGGTTTCCGGCCCTCTTTTCAGAAAAGACTGATTCACGGCTTCATAGCCTCAAGAATTCAAGGGCCACCCTCAAGTCCCTGGGTCTGCATGCTCTGGCTACACAATGGAGGCACTTTAAGCCGCAACCCACGACTCATTTTTACCACCCACAAAACGGGCAGGATTTTTCTTGGAGGCATAATAGAAACAACAGAAAGAGGCCTCCCCCTTCATTAGCTCTGGGCTTGCAAAACAGTCCTCAGGCCAGAAGCAGAACTTTTGAAGGTGTGCCTGGGGGCGACACACCAGTCTGGACTCTGGATCCATTCCCCCCTTACCTTCTTGTGCCGACTGTCCTGCGTGGGCCCAAATGACATTGGATCGCTGGATACTCTATACGGTACAAAGGGGATACTCTCTCCAGTTCTCCCTCCCTTCCACCCCTCTTCAGGAACCCTTCTTACGAGCAACTCCTCACACAGGACGTGCACACTCCTAACGCTGGGGACAGTGGAAGAGATTCCTCAGGAGCTGAAGGGCAGGGGATTCTATTCCCAGTATTTCCTAATACCGAAAGCCAAATGCGGCCTCAGGCCCACCCTAGACCTGCAAGAGCTCAACAAGTTCATAAAGAAACTGAAGTTTTGCATTGTCTCTTTAGCCTCCATTATCCCTTGGATCCAGGGGACTGGTACGCTGCCCTTGACTTGAAGGATGCTTACTTTCATATTTCAATAACGCCGTCTCACAGAAGGTACCTGAGGTTCGTGGTGAACCACAATCATCATCAGTTCACAGTCCATCCATTCGGCCTGTCAGCAGCTCCTTGAATGTTTACTAAGAGCATGGCAGTTGTGGCTGCGTTCCTATGCAAGCATCAGGTGCAGGGATTCCCATACCTCGACAACTGGCTAATCAAGGGCCACTCCAGGGCGCAAGTGGAGGTGCAAGTGAGCTTCATAAGGGCTACTTTTGACAACGTGGGCCTTCTACTGAATGTACAGAAGTCAACCCTATCCCCCGTTCAGTGGACAGAGTTCATAGGGGCAGTGTTGGACTCTACACAGACGAGGGCGTACCTCCCGGAGTCACATTTCCGGTCCCTGTGCGACATCATACGAAGTCGTAGGCAGTTCCCTACCACCACAGCAAGGAATTGCCTAAAGCTTCTGGGCCACATGGTTGCTTGTACCTGTGTAGCATAGCATACCAGACTGAGACTCTGACCTCTTCAGGCATGGCTGGCTTCGGTGTATCGTTCTATTTGGGATAGTCTAGACAAAATCATCACTTTACCTCGACCGGTCCTCGAGTCCCTTCTATGGTGGCTCGACGTGTAGGCAGTGTGTGTGGGTGTCCCCTTCGTCAGACCACAGCCATCCCTTTCGCTAGTGACAGACACGTCAGCATTGGGTTGGGGCGCGCACCTGGGAGACCGCAGGACTCAGGGCCTCTGGTCCCAAGCGGAGCTCTCATTTCACATCAATAAGGACAAGGTTCAACTTAGACCACATCCAGCTTTTCTTCCTAAAGTTGTCTCCCAGTTTCATGTTAACCAGGATATCTTCCAGTTTTCTACCTTAAGCCACACGCAGGCAGCAAGGAGCAAAAACTTCACTCGTTAGACGTTCGCTGGGCGTTAGGCTTCTATATCAAGCAGATGAAACCGTTCTGGAAGTCCATTCAGCTGTTTGTCGCAGTAGCAGACGGAATGAAAGGGCTTCTAGTCTCCGCCCAATCGTAGCATGCCCAGATACAGGATGTGATCCATGCCGAAATTCTTTGGGCAAAGATACCTGCCCCTCCGCTTACAGCATACTCCACAAGGACATTCCTGGCCCAGGTTCCGACCCAGGAAATCTGCAGAGCTGTGACGTGGTCCTCAGTCCACACTTTTACCTTGCATTACACCATTACCCAGCAGGCTAGAAATAATGCAGCCTTTGGCAGAGCGGTGCTATAGTCAGCAAACCTTTGAGCTCCGACCCCGCCTCCAAAATGTAGGCTTGGTAGTCACCTAATTGGAATTGACATGAGCAATCAGTCAAAGAAGAAAAACCGGTTACCTACCTTTCCAATACCCACAAAGCTACCCCTCTGTCAAAGCAAACCTCCAAGAAGGAACTGAGGTGGTGGCGGGTTGGCAGAGCCCTATATTTGGCGCCACAGAGGCGTGACTCCAGGGGATGCCTGGACCGACCCGATGGGTACTGCTAGGGGAAAAACCTTCTGGCTGCCATGCACGCGGCGCATGCACACCTAATTGGAATGGATGTGAGCAACATATCTTGAGGAACAACAGTTACGAAAGGTAGGCAACCATTTTTTTTAATGGCTTTCAGAACTGATGTCTCCACCAGCCCAGGTTCTATTAAGAATAGCCCGGAGAAGTTGACCTTTCTTGATACAATCTAGAAGTGTTTTCACAGTTATGCATCGCATCCATACTACAGCTGTTTTGGCAGGTGTTTCAGAGCTGCAATTCTAGGCTAGAGGGGAATTCTCTCTTAATGTTAAGATATCTAGCCTTTCCCTTTTTTAATCTCTCCGACGGAAGCTGTTCCATCCCCTCATCATCTTTGTTGCCCATCTCCATATCTGTTCCATTTCTAATCTATCTTCTTTGAGATAGGGCGACCAGAACGGCAGTATTCAAGGTGTGGGCGTACCAGAGATTTATACAGCGGCATTATGATATTTTCTGTTTTATTATTTATCCCTTTCCTAATGATTTCTAACATTCTGTTAGGGTTTTTTTGACTGACACTGCACACTGAGCAGATGTTTTCAGCGAACTATCCACAATGATGCCAAGATCTCTTTCTTGAATGGTAACAGCTGATTTAGACCCCATCATTTTGCATGTACAGTTAGGATCATGTTTTCCAGTGTGCATTACTTTGCACTTATACACTTAGCCCTGGTCTACGCTACGAGTTTAGGTCAAATTTAGCAGCATTAGGTCGATTTAACCCTGCACACGTCCACATGACGAAGCCATTTTTGTCCATTTAAAGGCTCTTAAAATCAATTTTTGTACTCCTCCCCGACAAGGGGATTTGTGCTAAAATTGACATCGTTGGGTCGAATTTGGGGTAATTGGGGTAGTGTGGATGCAATTTGATGGTACTGACCTCTGGGAGCTATCCCAGAGTGCTCCATTATGACCACTCTGACAGCACTTTCAACTTAGATGCACTAGTCAGGTACACAGGAAAAGCCCCGGGAACTTTTGAATTTAATTTCCTGTTTGGCCAGCGTGGTGAGCTCATCAGCACAGGTGACCATGCAGTCCCAGAATCGCAAAAGAGTTTCAGCATAGACCGAATGGGAGGTACTGGATCTGATCGCTGTATGGGGAGACGAATCCGTGCCATCAGAACTCCGTTCCAAAAGACGTAATGCCAATATATATGCCAAAATCTCCAAGGGCAAATGCGAGGTGTTTACAATGCTCACAACTGCAGTGGTGATCGGAGTGGACTCCTGCTTGCAAAGCTATGGCGTATGCGCGGGCAATCCAGGAAAAAGGGCGAGAAATGATTGTCTGCCATTGCTTTCACTGAGGGAGGGAGGGAGGGAATGGTCACTGACGACATGTACCCAAAACTACCTGCCGCTATCTTGTC